TTACTCCTCTTTAGTTCTTGCTCTGAGAAAAGTTAGAAAACATTGATTTTTGTCCAGGAAGGGTTCGAATGAATATTTTTACACTTTTCTATAGTTTTGGAAAACCAAATAGTTGACTTGTTACTAATTGTCTCCTCTTAATATCAATCCTACAACTAACTGGCACTCAGGGATTCGATATCTTAACAATTAACTGCAAGGTGAATATTAATCCTTTGATTCATGGTTGCATCGATACCTCACTTAATGACAAATGAGCCAGAACTCACTTCTGGATTGAAAAAAAAAAAAAAAAAAAGCTCAAAGGCGAAAAAGAGCAAGGTGCATCTGAACACCCACTCGGGGGCTGGGTTTCGGATGCATTCTTCCTAGACTCCTTTCCTGTAGCAAACAGAAAGGGTAGATTGCGCAAGGTTGTACATGCCTTCCACAACATCCAAGCGGGAGCTTGGAAATGTCCTATTGGCACTGCGAGTGCCCAGCAGGGGAATTTGTGATTCCTCCAGGGTGATCAGCAAGAGTTAAATCCACTTCGCTCTTACTGAACAGAACAGAATTTAGCTGTGTGTAGATTGAATCCTACTATTCTGATACCCAAGGAAGCTGATTTGGTTCGAATCAGTGAAGGAGGTACAAATCTGCATTGACCAAAAGACAGAGCACATTGGCCTTTACCCAGAGGCTACCAGATCACACTGTTGGGTTCAGTGTGACCCTGAGCATTGCCAAGGCAGGCAGGGAGTTCAGGTGTAAGCTATGATTTTCTGTCATCCTCTAGCTCCTTCTTTCCATTTTTATCTGTTTTGTCCCTATAAATCATTTGAAAACTTCAGTCTTGCAAAGAATGGGCCTCAGATCATTTCTCTGGGGCCTGAAGGGCCAGCCAGACTAGTCTGACCCGCTGTTTGCCTGCCACATGTTTAAATGCTGGTACCCAGGCGACTATATCTAAAGGAAGTATAAAGGGAGTTCATTTCTTGTTTGCCTTTTAAAGACAAAAACCTTAATTTCCTGCATAAAATTTGAGACTAAAAAGTTTGGAAGTGACAAGCAGTAATTTCATTTCTCCTGCAGAGGTGAGACTTTCCAAAAGGGAGGTGATTGTACCTATAAGCTACCAAATGCCAAAAACTCCAAGGGACCGATGAGGTCAGCATGATCTTGTAGGGCCATGCTGCATTGAAAACAGCATGAATTGGTAATAAATCAGTGATGAACAGGTGCCTCAAAGCACACCCTCAGGTTTCACACGATGAATTGCCACTTTACTCTTTCAGCCAGCAAGCATTTGCAGAGCGATTACTCCATATTATGCAAAGCACCAGAAATACAAGTGTCAACCAACTACACCTCCTGCTCACTGGGAAGCGCCAGTGTTAAGGAACATCCCATCAGACAAACAGGCAACAGGAACAAAGAGAGACAGTGTTGAAATAGGAATTAAGTACAGAATGTAATCAGACGGAAACAGAAAAGCATATCACCCTGTTTGGGGCTCGTGGGTGTGTGTCTGTGTTGGCTATTGTCAGGGGCAATGCCCCCAAAGAAATTTTATTTAAGCTATAACCTAAAGAATGAATTACAGTTAGCCCAGTGGATGAGGAAAGAAGAAGAAGATGAGAAGTGTTTAAACTGAAGGAATAGAACTACAAGAATTCATTACCTAGAAAACATGACTATCAACTGAAGCTTCTGGTTCCATTCCAATTATTTGCAATGTGGCATCTACATTGATTTTTAAAAATCTTTTTCTACTACAGGAAGTACTTGAATAATAGCCAGAGCTTATTTTGATCATGGAAAATGTGCATTGGGGGGGTCATTTATATTATTATGGAATGAAAAGTTCAGATTTTTCATGTTTTTTAAGAAGTAGCAACCACTATAAAATTTTGTACACTTAGATAATTTATAGTTCCTAATAAATTAATATTCACTGTCATTTTAATATTGGTTTAAATGGTTTTTTCTTCTGGAAAATTCTTGGAGTTGATATTTTAAGGATATTTTATTATTAATAATAGATTTTTAAAATTCGTGAACATTTTAATAATAGCAAATCAGCTTTCCATTTAATCTGGGAAAATGATTTTTCTATTTTTAGATATTTTACCTTTATCAGAAACCCCAAATTATAAACATCTCCCATCTCAGCTTTCTCTCATTCAAATGCTTTCCATGTTATCACGCAAATTACAATTTTATTAATTGCTCCATGAATGCTGCTGATCTGAGAGTCAGTAACAGAAGAAGAATCAAAGATCTCTGCTATAATATGGTGCTTCTCTAAATAAGACTTCTTTGTCTCAAGAGGATGACTTTGAGTTGACTTTAAGGTTTGATGAGATTATTTGCCCATGGATAATTTATGAAGTAAGCCAAAACTCTAAAGTTACCCTGAGTGTAAATGACTGGGCAGAGGACTGATCATGCCAGGTGATTTCTGACACATGGAATCACCATATTTATTTGTCACACTGCTTCATTTCTGATATTACAACCATCGCTACAAAGTATTTATAGAAAATTAACAGGACATCATATGACTTAGTATACACGGTTAGACAACATGGCAACAACACGAAGCAGTCTAACATATTGCCTTGAGTTCAATCACGCTGAGAAAACACTGTTTAAAAGTTTAGCAAAAAGGGAGGAGGCGAAAAAGGATATCTTACTTGCTAGGTGCTCGATCTTGCAAATTAGTTAATGCAGCAAAGTTGTTTCGTACAGTTCGCAGGCTGGCCAAGACCTACGACAAAGAAGGATTCTTTAAACTTCTTGAAATAGGGCTGTTTTAAATGCAATTAAAAATGGTTTGTTAAGAGAACCTTGATATTGCTTGCAACTTAGTTTCATACAGCACTAAAGAATCTCCCAGCATTTAGTGAAGTTTGCACATATCCATGTGAAATCCAGAGAGGCCAGACTACAAGGATTTTCCAGAAACCTGTCCTCATTGTCCAGGAATATGGTGACAATAGCAGCAGTTTCCACAGTAGTCCCAGATTCCTTAGTCACCAAAACAATATCCCAGGCAATATACACATAGCATTGTTGCATTTTATGCAAATTTGAAGTAGTGTAATGTGAAATGCTAATAAAGTCTCACTTTAAGAGTAAAAAAACAAAATTCCTCCCAAATTCTCTTCAAAATTTCACCAAGAATCACATAAATTCAATTCGGCAAGCTAAGTGAATTTTAAATTGTGTTTCCACCTTTGCCACATGGCGACTGTAGCTATTTCATAGTAAACAGACATTCTTTTCCTTGTTAAGGTTATCTGAACAGTGGATTATAAGAAGCCCTCAGGGATGTATTTCTCCATAAAATTCTGCTGCCCTGTATGTGTACAGTGTCTGGCACACAGAAGATACTCAAGAAAAATTTGTTGAATAAATGAATACAAACATACAACATGTTCACAGATATGACAAGGCAGGACCCATAGGTGCCACTATCTCTGGTAGCCTCTGCCTTTTAGCCTCTGCCTTTTTCTAATTCCAACTGGAACTAGAAAGTGGGCAAGTTTCCCCAGGTTGGGACCTACGTTAGCTGGGATTATAGGTGATCTGGCTGACAACTAGAATGCTAAATTTATCTAAAACATAGATTCCAAGTGTCCTGGCAGGTACTGCATAACAACCCAGACTGCCTGGCTCTGTTGTGTGTGGACTTGGACAAGTTACATAACCCCTCTGTGCCTCAGCTTCTTTATCTGGGAAACTGGGATAGTGATATCTACCTCATAAGATTGTTGCTAGGATTATATGAAATGACAGGTTAGGTGCCAAGAACAGTGCCTGGCAAATACAAAGCACTCGGTGAATATGAGCCCATGATGGCAGCATTACGTTTGATTAATGATTTCACGTGCACATGGGGAATTTACTCAATGAATGCCTGGCATTGGTAATACAAGGGAGCCCCCAGACTTCTAACTGCTCCAAGGGTTCTAGCACTGTTTTCAGAATTTTTTATTTTGGCACAAACATAAACTAAAGTAAGGCTACATTTTTTTCTAAGGCAAAAATGTCTCCAACTCTTCTTCTGAAATTGGCATTAATTTGTGTCAGTCTATGGGGAGCTGTTTATGCCCCGAGACGGTGACTTACAGCATTTTCCCCTGAAGGAGTTAACGGTGCTTCCTAAGAGTCCAACCGTGCATGATTAACTCAGTCACTGGAAAAACCTGGCTCATTATCACTTACAAACAACTCACATCTCTGAAAGGTCATGCTGCCTATGATGGAGTATTCCAAAAGCCAACTGCTGACATCAGACCACGATGTCTTTTATTAGGCATGAAATCTTTGAATGATGCAGAAGTAAATCGGATAAATGATCCGCTGTCATTAAATCATGCAGGCTTAATTTATGTTTTAAGAAGCGAATATCAAACACCCTAATGAAGCATTTAAAATAAGATTATTGCACCGGCTAATTGATCCCTTTCCTAGGCAAAAATTTTAACCCCAGAATTCTGAGAATTGTATTCTAATACATAACAGTTAAGTTTGCTGCATTTGACAGCTGGGTCAATTTAGAAATAGTACTGCAGGTAATTCATGCTCTGCGCTCATTTGAGAGGAAACATTAGTCATGAAAGGAAACACTTGTTCATGAAAGAAATATTTTCTGTAGAGAAATTTTTGCCTCTGTTATAATAAACATCTAATATAATAAATAATCTAATCTAATATTATTTTGTTTTGGCTTTTTTTTTTTTTTTTTTGAGACAGAGTCTCACTCTCTTGCCCAGGCCAGAGTGCTGTGGCGTCAGCCTAGCTCACAGCAACCTCACACTCCTGGGCTCAAGCGATCCTACTGCCTCAGCCTCGTGAGTAGCTGGGATTACAGGCATGTGCCACCATGCCCGGCTAATTTTTTCTATATATTTTTGTTGTCCGATTAATTTCTTTCTATTTTTAGTAGAGACGGGGTCTCGCTCTTGCTCAGGCTGGTTTCGAGCTCCTGAGCTCAAACAATCCGCCTGCCTCGGCCTCCCAGAGAGCTAGGATTACAGGCGTGAGCCACCGCGCCCGGCCTGTTTTGGCTTTTAATTTAAATTTTATTCACTCATTTTTGTGTAAAGTATATCTTCACATGGTACAGAATTTAAACAAAAAAAAAAGGTATAAAGTGAAAAGTATACCCTACAAAAATTAGGACAAAAATCAAAATTATTGTTATTTCTGAGACACGGCAATGGAAGCAGATAAAATTGGGGAGGGACATTAAAAATATCGGTACTATTCTATTTCTTAAACTGTTCATTTTAGTATTATTCTTTATACTTTACACAATCACTAGATAAATTTTCCTATGTCATATTTCAAAACAAAAAGTGAAAAAAGACATCTGCCTTCAAGTCCCTCCTTCAGGCATTCAGCTGTCCGTCCCCTACCAATTGGCTTTCAGGTTGTCTGTCTTAAAATCAGCTTCTACCAACACTGCTGCAGTAAATGACCTTGTAGATGCGTTCCCTATGTGTGCAAGTATTAGATCATTGTTTTTCATGTGTGTGACAGGACAAACAGTACCTTGCAAATTTTATGTTCAGTGTTAACCATTATCTTTTGCATTATGACATATATGGTAGTGACAGAAGTGTAAATAAAAGTTCCAGATAAATCTTATAAGGGCCTTGCACATTGATTCTCAGTGTCTTCATCACAAATATCACTGCATTAGTCTTATAAGCTCTTACATCACAGGACACAACGAAGGAGGTGTCCGTTCCCGTAGGCTGTGGGGGAGAGCTGGAAACAGTTTTACTGAAGCCCCTGAATTAAGGTTCGATTATTACTTGTCTTTGTTCTAGGGCAGCTCCCACTCCCCCTGAATTCAACTCTTTAAGAACTATAGTCAGAGCTTAAATGCTCCTATAATTTTCTTCACTCCTTAATGCTTGCTAACCAAAAAGGTCACTGAGGTTACTTCCACGTAGCTCAACGATTAGAAATAAGGTCATTTCTTTCTCTTCTACCCCTCCAAGAAAAAGGAATCAGTCAATGTCAAAAATACCTTGGGCACGATGAGAAATATATACACCATAGGAAAGAAATAATTGTAGTGCTACAGAAAAATTGTGGACAAAGATGGTTTATGTATTAGCCCATTGATAATAATTTACATACACTACTCTCAGACCTTCTTAGGTGCCTCTAAACATTTATTAACAAATAGTATTCACTGAAAATAGCAGAAAAATGTGGGCTTCATTAAATAGTTAAACAGCTAAACACAATAGCCAGAGAGCAAGAGAAAGAGATACTAGAATAAGAAATGGTTTTGAGGATAGATTTTCATACCATATACATTTTACGCCACTAGATGGCGGTAAAACACAGGCCATGAGTGCCGCTGGTGGCGGAGGAGCGAGGGTACTGGCATTGAAAAGGATTCTCGCCTCGGTTTTACCGCCAGGAAAAAAAAAAAAAAAGAGTCAAATTATGATTATTTACAAGATAGAAAGGCCGTTTTGATTGAAAAGGAAACCTCTTTACTAGTTATGTTTGGGTTAAATTGCTGGGTTTTTAAAAAAATCAACAACGGTTGAATATTGACAATTTTATATGGTTTGCTCTGGAAAGAACTTAGATGCCTAGAAGATGCTAGTTGTAATTTAAATTTATGAAGGCTAAAAAAACGCTGAAAGAAAAACAGAACCAACTGAAATGAGATGCCTGTTTTCTTTCACAGCCCGGGCAGGCAAGGCCTGGTGGCTTCATCAAGCTCGAGGATTGTGGCGAGACCACGAGATGGCTGCCGCTGGGTGACGGTGGGCGAGGGACAGGCAGGAACGTTTAAAGAATATTGGTAACGTTCTATTTCTAATTAAAGGTAATGTTCTAGAGTGTTAGCAAATACTGCATTTTTTCTAGATGTATCTCATGTGCTGTATTTTGGTGAGAGGCAAAATGACGCGGAGGTTCCTACCCTGTATTTATTTCCAAGTCAGGCCTATCTCCTCAGCCTGCATGATGTGAGGGTCTCTCCAGGGATCCAGGACAATGTTTGGGCGTTTCCTGTTTTTTCCCTCATCAAAGATTCTGCTTCTTTTAACACTACAGACTTCCACATGAGAATTCTAGCTGACTCAGTTTTACAAGGTGGTTGTCACACAAATAGTGGGATCTATGCGACCTGACGCAGCTGACTGCAGAGAAGGGTTTCCTACATTTCTACAGCGCTGTGCCTCCTTAGTGCTCCTTGGCCCCCAAGAGCTCTGCACAAGAAAACAAAAGGCCAGCTGCTGGGTGGCATGGCGTGGCAAAGGCAGTGGGATTCCTCTCCACACCCAGCCTTCGTGCCTAAGGAAATGCCCACACCAAAAGATTTCAACACAAACATGAGAGAATATTTTAAAATTGAAATAAAAAATATTTAAAGCTGTCACTTTTTCTGGGGACCAAAGGGATTCTGAGCTTCTAGGGGGAAACAAGAAATCAGAGGTAGAAAAGAGTTTAGGTTAAACACCAGCAAGAATTTCTAGCCCTGACGGTATTTTAGACATTGAAACAGAATATGGAGAGATACTGTAGGATCCTTTCTGAAAATTGTGTCTGTCCAAGATATTTTAGGCTTTAGCCCAACTAACAAGGTGGAATATATCTTTGCACGACTTCCTAAATTCTCTTGTAACACAGGATTTTATTCTCTTCTCTTCACAAGAAGCCTTGCTTTGGAAAGAACAGGAAGGGATGCTTTCATGTTTTAGAGATGCACTCAGGCTTAAAGAAATGGGTTCTCAAGAAGAGGCGGAAGATGATCCTGGGAGATCTTCGACCACTTTAGACAGTGGAAAGCCATTTTTGGAAGTCACGGGAAAGGAAAATACACATAGACAAATCTAAAGGGATATAGGGTAAAATGTCAATAGCAGTTATTTGGGGGTTTAGAATTATGAAAATTTTTTTTTTCTTTTTACTCATCATTTATATTTCTAAACTTTTTATGCAAAAATATTTGAGAGCTGTATGGCTTTTTTTTTATCAGAATTTAGCGTGAAATTCCAAACTCTAAATCATGTTAGGAAAAGGGGGTAATTCTTTGGCCTACTTGGCTGAACATTTCCTGAAAGCCTTGTTTAAAATCAGTTGTTTTCTGTCCACTGGCAAAAACAATTATAGGATATCAGGCTAAGTAATATTGATATCACTTCATGTGTTATATTTTTAGTGTTATAATATTTAGCATTAAACAGTAAGTGCTCTAGCCTGTATTTAAAAAAAATTGAGGATTTAGTGGTTAGGGCAACAAAATGTGCTAGTTGTACCCAGTGAAGCTAAGAGAAGGCCACAGGCAAATTGATGCTAACTGGAGTTTCTGCCTTACCTGCCTCCCCAGAGATGTTCTGTCAATGGTGAAACTCTTCAGGGTTTAACAGCTTGTAAAAAAAAAAAATCTAGGAGGGCTTTCAAATCCTACACCCCAGTAAAAGGGCATTGGTGAAAACTGTTAGGAAGCCACTTAAAAAGAATCTGCAGCCTCTGGGGCAATGACCACCCTCTGCAAGGTGTCATGAGTCACTTAGTTAATCATAAGCAAAGTCTTCTAAATACATTAGGGGCTTATTTTCAGGCATCAGATATGCCTGTAAATTACACATAGTTGATTTATATTCAGAATTCCAATTTCAAAGGTATTAAGTACACATCTTTTTTATCTAAATAGCTTAATAACATAGACTAAATGATATATATATATATATATATATATTTTATATATATGTATATACTTCCCAGTATTCTGAAATTCTATTAGTGTTTTTTGGCGATTTTAGGTACACTACAGAAAATGTCTAATCATGTAAAAGACTAGATTTCCTTAGAATTTAAGACATTGATGGCAGGGACCAAGTCAAATTTATTAATATATTTGTTGGAGATTAATAAATACTACTTGAAGTAAGAAGGCAAGGTATCACATACAGATAATTTTTAATGTGTTACTATCTATTTAGATATATTTTTTCTTATAATAATACCTAGAGGTTTTAGTTAGAAGAATAGCTACCTGAATAAACTCAGGTTGGAATTATGAGTTCTACATTTGGTGATGGTTATTTATATTTTGCCTGATTTTATCTGTTCACCTAGTCCTTAGCTCTTAGATATAGAATTATAAGTTCTTAATAGCAATCAATTAAAAATCCTTAGTTTTATAGGAATTTGCTATCACCTAATATGATTAAAACATATGAATGTAAATTTTTTTGGACATAGAAATATGAGTATCAAAAGGAATTCACGAGCTCCAGTAAAACCTTAAGCAAATAAGACATTAACCTTCTGAAAAGGATGGTGGTCGAATTCTATTTTTAATTGCCTGCATTAATTTAAAATATCACTCTTACACATTATGTTATTTATGAACTGATTAAATTTCGGGTCTAAATTATAGCAGTAACGAAATTTTAGGAAATTTTAAAAAGTAGAAGAACTATACATAATCCTACTATCAAATACTGCTATTATTCATTTTTAAAAACAGCAATTATGAGATTTTAGAGATGAAAAAGCAATTTTATCCCTAAACAATTAAAGAACAATCAAAATTTATTAAATATATTTTCTAGAAATTGTGCTGAGCATTTTACAAGCCCAGTACTACTTCAACTTCTTAACAACCTCATGAGGCAGGTACTCTTGGAATTTCACAGAGGAAGAAACCAGACATGAAAAAGTTCAGTGACTTGCTCAAGGCCATTCAGTGAGCACGAGGACAGAAAGGGTTTTAACTGGGGCCTGACTGTCCTTCATCCCAGCAGTCCCCTCGTTTCACCAATTGGAAAAAAGAGGGCCCAGAGAATTCAAATGAGTTGCCTAAGGTGCTGCAACTATCTATGACATAGCCCTGACTGTAATTTTTATGATTTCTAGGGATTACTTATATTTCAATATTTAATACTTCTTATCAGTCAGTGTTGGCTTTAAACCTGCTCCATGCCCCAGGTTAAATCAGCTTTATCCCATTCTGTCTCCAGTTGTCTACACCAGGGGCTCTTAACTTCTCCTGCACATTGAAAGAATACTGAGGCCTTTAAAAAATACAGATGCTTGGATCTGATTCCCAGGTTTAGGAATTTAATTGACTGACCGAGGGTGCAACCTGGGCACTGGGATGAGAGCTCTCTGGGTGAATCTAATGTGTGGCAAGAGTCGAGAGGCACTAGTCTACCCATGGAACATCCCGTTATTAACCCTTTTACATATATTCCAAAACATTTTAGATCATTTTATCACCTTCTTGCATCTATGTCATGTGGTTAAAATATGTTCATGATGTGTATGCCTAAAACGAATAAATGAACATAAACATATCACTCTGTATAAATGACATATGTTTAAAAAAAGAGGTAAATAAGGTATCAGGTTGAATTGGATTATTGAATTTCAAGCACTGATTATGTACCTAATTATACTAAATGTAATTTAATCCATGATATAGCCTTCTGCTGCTAGTGCTTATGTCAGTTAAGGAAATATGGGCCCAATTAAGTATATCCCTTAGGTAGTTTGTTATCTGAAGCAAAGATACTCTTTGGGTCTATGGGTTTATAGGAAACAGATCGATATGGTCAAAGTCACATTCTCTAGCATTGCCTTCGAATTACTTGAATGAATCACAGAATTTGTATTTATACTTGTGTTTGATTTAAAATTGAATTAAGTTACCACCAGAACTAATCCCCCAAATTAAATTTTCAAATCTGTGAGAAACCTGCCCATTCACCAAGCTGTGCTTACCTGAGCAAATGGAGTCACGATCAAGTCATCTCCATGTCTGAAAAATAAACCAAATCCTGTGTTAGAAGTCACCAATAACTCTGGCCTCTTTGATCAATATGAAACGGCAAGTTCCAGTTTCACAAATTCCCATAGAGAATTACAGTAATTCCATCTTTATTCTTCAGCACATGTTCCTCCCAGCAACTGGATTGAAAGTATCTTGTTTGGAATGTTAACCATTGTCCAAGTCCCTGGGTAAAAAGAAGGGCTTCTTGATCATCAACCAAGGTCACTGTTGCTTTTTAAGCACACAGGATATGCAACAGTAGAAACGGAGTTCCGGTAGTGGAGCGGAGTTTTACTTTTGGCTTCTTATTGTAGATATTAGTAGTGGGTGCCGTGGAAGGAACCGGCAACTGCATTGGCTTCAGTAAGAGGACCCTGGACCATTTAACTTTGAAGGTGATTAGCATGGAGTGTTCTGCATCATCCTGTGTGCGTCTTGGGCAGCCTAGGAGCTGTAGATGACATGGGACTGCATCATGCACTAATAAAAACCCAGCGAAACTTTTCAACTGACTCACATCCCAGCCGCTGTAGTTGCAGGGGAATGTTACTCCGTGTGTGCTGTTGCTGCAGCAACCTCGGCTGCTCCATGCCCGGGGTATAGGAGCAAGGTGTCAGCATGACGTGTCTTGGAGGGACAGGGAAAGGCGAGGAAAGCTGCACAACATTCTACTTAGAGAAAAGTGAGAAACTGGGGCTCAGGGTTCTCTTGTGGTGTTTCTTAGCATGAATAATTCGAGAGAAGGATTTCTAGAATCTCCATGGGCTATTTCTTGATCTAGCTAGCCAAAGCTCTTTAATCAAAAGTGAATGGAGTTATTCTACAAAGAAAACTCCCTGGACACGACCCTCACTGAAAATGGTGCAACTAAACTGTTCGCTCACTCGTGAGCAATCTGAAAAGGACCCAAGTGATATAAAACAACACGTGTGAAATATGCTGCAGCACAAAGGGCATACGGATGATGTTAGCAAATAAACTGTTACCAATAACTAAGCCAGCTGTTACGGTCATCATCAAATCATGCAGGCATCTTGAAAATAAAAATGCGGAAAATAAAAGCAGAAAAAGGGAAAACACATACTTTAAAGGAAACACATGCTATTTTGTACCCCCTTAGTTTCAAAATTGCACTTTTCAAGTAAGGGGCATCTGTTCTTTATAGAGATTATTTATAGAATCCTAGACTTTAAGAAGCCTGGACACTGAGTTTTAATGATGTTTTGTAGAGGAGGTAACTGAGGTTCAGGGAGATCGTAAGGTCTAAAAGCTAATAAATGGTAGACGCAGGATGTCAGTCAAAAAGGCTTTCTAAGGCCCAGTCCAGAGAGGCTCTTTCCCCAAAAATGCCCCACAGTGGGAGCAAGCCTGGTGCACTGAAGCGGTAAGGAGGCCACTGTGCCGGAGGGAGCCAGCAGGAAGGCACAAAGCCAAGGAGTTAGAGGAGACACCTGGGTGAGGAAGAACAACGTGCAGAGCAGGAACTTTGGTGAGCAGCTCAGTGATTCTGGAGAATGCCATGCAAGGCAGGAAGTGCAAGAATAGTGGTTGGTGGTGAGTCAGGCAGCCAGTTACAGAGCCCTTGTAGTACAAGTAAATGAACTTGGATTTTACTTTGTGGCGGAAGTTTGAGTTGGAATTCCAGCTCTGGCACAGACTACAAGTGTGAACGTGTGCATGTTATAAACCTCTTTCTCTTCATCTCTTCATCTGTAAAACAGAGATAAAGTACACACATATGGTATTGTCTTGGGACTAAATAAGTTAATAATGTTGGTGCTGAGAAATGTCTTTACCACATAGTAATGCTCAATAGACATTAGCTGCAATAGTAATAATTAGTAGTAGTAAATATTTTTAGATTGTAATGACTTTTGCTTTCCTATGCAGTCAGGAGATTGCAAAGACTCAGAAAACTGATAGATAAGAAGGACTCTTGAGCTACGTGACAGGTCTGCAGAGGATTGAGGCTTTCAAGAAGCAAAACTAGAAGCAGGGAGACCAGATGAAAGGGTGGAGGAGATAAGAAGCTCAACTAAATCAGTGGTAGTCGAGAGAGAGAGGGAAGATGACATTAAGGGCTCTGTAAACAAAAGCAAAAACAAACAAAAATTTTATGAAAAATTTCAAACATTTCCCAAAATGAAAATAATGTTATCATGACTGGTACATTTTATATAATAACACCAACTATTACAACAATGTTGCAAGGTAGAAAATACTACTCCCATTTTGCAGATGGGAAAATTGAGAATTGAATCAGTTAAGAGACTTAACACTGAGTCACCCAGGTAGTAAGCTCTATATAGCCATAACTGGAATGGGCCCTGCTTAGGATTTCACTGTCTGATTCTTACAGAAACAGCTTAAAAACAGATTAAAAAGGAGGCTCTAGGAAAATGGCAAAAAAAAAGGGAGAAGCGTAGTCACTGTAGGCATCTGGTGGAAAAAGAGACTTGGCCCACCATTCTGACCTTGCTTTCTGGCTGTTGGCTATAGGCAAAATTTAGGACTACAGTTTCTCTTATGAACTTATTTTGAAACAGTTACCTAACTCTTATAAAACAACTGAGAAATACTTACAGATGCACCAGTGTTTAAAAAACAAAAAACATGAGTACAAAATCCAAGGCTGAGCACTTCACCATTTGACAACTTTCTACACACACACAAGGCACTTTAAGAGTCCATCTGAAGCCAAATATTCTTATAAGGCATGAACAAATCAGTAAACTGGGTAGTGTGTTAGAAGTCCAAAGATGAAAGATAATTCCAAATATTTGTATACCATATATATGGCATTCAAGATACTTCAATGATTCCTAAGATAAAAAATATTATTTAAAAATCATTATCCTATGATGGGAGGTATATTACACAAGGAGACACGCCCTACATGTCTGCTCAATTTGGCATCAAATAAACTATTAATCTGCTTCAACATATGGTCAAGCTACAGACATTGTATTTGTAAAATGGACTAGAGGCAGTTCAGAACGCCAAAGTTAAAGTAATACAAAATCTAGATATTGTCCCAACGTGCAGTTTCTTTTTTCATTTTATTCTTTATAATTGCCCAACTACAAAGTTTATTTTCTCAGAATAAGTCATCTTGATCGAGGCACATCATCAATCTGAAATCAATCCATGGAAATATGTCCCCTATGTTTTTACATGCTTTCTACTGGATTTGAATCATTCAAAATTCAAAAGGGTTGAATGTCTTTATAGCACAATTCTTTCTTCGGTTGTATTTCATTCCCAAGTATTGCAAAAGATATATTTAGAATATATAATATTTAAGATAATTTGTTTTCTTCCCTGTCAAAACATAAAGAAACACAATTATAATTTTAGTGAGGGAGATACGACTTTTTCTAATTGCCCGGAAACTGTTTCTGTCAAATATCTCAAGATTGTCTCATTTTGGTAACAGTAAAATGATTCCTAGCATTTCAGTGGCAGATGTCCTCAATAAAGGGTAAGTTATGTTCTATCCATTTTTTCAAATGGATAAGTATATAATACTTAAATTATCTTTAAATACATACCTAATATATAATTTAAAAATCCTTATCTAAGTCCTCAATAAAATATAATAAAACATATCTTTTAATCGTGTCCTATAATTTGCTTATAATAATTAAAAAACAGATCTGGTAGTTAAGACCAACAGAAGATTCATTATTTTATTATATACTATTTGGCATAAAGTATGTGTGGGTTTTAATGAGTTGAATAATTAAACATACCTGAAAAGGCCTATGAAATAAAATGATTCTGAAATCCTTCACTTGAACAACTTTCCCAATAAGGAACTTTTAAAAGTACCTTAGGTAAATGAGGTGGGGTTAGGAGGGGTTATAATTCCACGTAATAAGTCACCTACTGGTGACATGAGTTTTGGGGAGGATTATGCAATATTGTCTTTCATTTAAATAAAAACAAACATAACAACAACAAACTTTTAAAAAAAACAGGTGGGATGTGCTTTAAGGAACAAACAGCTTTGTTTTTTAGAACTGGAGTATTTATGGGGGACAAGTGGGGAGAGAATGAGGCCTGAGGGGTCTCAGAAAAAAGCTTTTTTTTAATTTCAGAGTTTTACGGTGGTACACACGCTTTGGTTATGTAATTTGCTTTTGTACAGTTTATATCAAAATTATAAGTGTGAGCTTCACCCAGTTAGTGTGCATTGTACCTGCTAGGTGTGAATTTACCCAAATGTATATATGGATGTATTTATGTATGTATATAAGTATGTATGTATGTGAGTGATGAAACTGATAGCCAGGAAACAGTTACAGCAGAGTACAAGTGCAGAAACATCTAGAATAGACAGGATGAACCCTTGCAGGTCACTGTGGGAGTCAGTGTCACACTGGTCTTCAGTCTTGTGATGTGGAAGGAGGTGCCGCATGCTCGGTCACCTGCGCTGGTTACAAGGGGCTGAACCAGAGTCACCTTCTGTAGCCCCTGAAGCCCTGCCTCTCACCTGTCCCAAAGAGAAGGGCTTGCTGAGTCCTGAGCCGGTGCTACTGGAGGCAGAGGATACAAGGCTCAACACAGTGCACTCTTGAGTTTTCTTTCTTCCTCAAGAGAAATGACAATTGAGTCTAGAACTCCGACTCTCTATGCCTTCTGCCATCCTTCTACTTCTGTATTATTTACCATTTTATTTTCTATCTTCATTCTTTATGTAATAAGAAGCCAGAAAAATAGACAAGAAATCGAAAGAAAGAAATCCAAAAGCAAGCCCTTTTACAGAAACCTCATTGGGATCCATAAACTATTAAAGTACTTAAATGAAAAAACCTGTTGTCATCTTAAAAAATAAGTTCAATCAACATCAGCACCTGAAAACATAATTTCATAAACAATTTCGAGATTGTGTTAAAACACACTAGGTGGCAACCTTTCTCCATTTTACTATTACCAAACCAGAAGGAAAAGGAGATGAAGTTAATTAGAAGAGAGTTTTTACTTTA